GAGATTTGATTGGTCAGTATTACATATACTATATAAGACCTGATATTTTCATAACCCCCCACCTACCTAAAAAATCAAGTGATAAATGGCGCTCTCCTAAGTCGCCACACCTTATTTGAAGGCTTTTTAATACCAATTCAACTTACAAGTTAGTAAAAAAAACAAGCATAACAAGAAGACAAAAAACTTCACTTATTTTAAAATTAGTTTCAAGTTTTAAATTGTATCTAGTTTTAAATTATACTTAATCTCTTTGTTATGGTATTGTTTTAACAAAATTAAAATTTACAAAAAAAAATTAGTTTAAATAAAAAAAAAAGAAAAAAATAGCAATATAAAAGAAATTACTAGTTTTTAAATCCAATTTTTGTTTAAGCTATAAACTTAATACTTGTTAAACAACTCTTTTTAACAATCACTTGTACTAAAATTTTTGATTAAAGAAAAACCAAATATTTGTTAAAAATAAGTTAAGGCCTTTTGTAGTAATTTTTATAAAGGTCAATCTTATTTTTAGAAAACTCTTTTTTATATTTGATATACAAGCCAAAAGCATTATTATACAAGATAACTAGTAGAAGTAATACTTTTATATAAAAAATTTTGGTAGAGATCTAAAAAATAGCATACTTTGTTAATGAGACTTTCTAGACAGGCTTCAGAAAAAAACACAGAAGAACAAAAAGCAAATAGTTTTTCTTTATAAATACTCTTTATAGTTGGTATAAGTAGTTCCTTTTTATAGCTTATCTTTACTTTCTTGCTATTCTTCCAAAATTTTTGACCCTCTTCAAAAGATTAGCATTGTTTATTTTTTAAATTTAGTAGATATAGTAGCAATCATGTGTTTTGTTAATTTATAAATATAGTACTATTTTATAGAACTTGAATAGAGATTCTGGTTAATAAGATATTTGATGAAAATCATATAGTCAGAAAAAAAGTAAAGCTTTATAATTAAAATATACAATAAGTTGCAATTGTTATAATTTTTACTAGTCTAATACAGATTATAATATTATATTTTTTTTTTAATTTGTTTTGGTTTGTTTTTAGTGTAGTTTTTTTTTTTTTTTTTTTCTATATTTATATTTGTCTTTTATATATACTGGTATATTTGCCCAATTTGAATTTTCAAGAATTTTATTCTAACACCAAAATTTTTTTTAAGCGTATTAGTTTAGGTTTTAATTTATGCCAAACATTAAAAAAAAAAAAAAAAAAAAAAGGAAATCTACCACTCAACGTCTGACTGTATCTCACGCCATTCTATAACTACCTTGGGTTCGAATACATTACATCTTCGGCAGAGTTATAATTAGTCATTTGTCGAGGTAAACGTTCATGCTTTGAACAATGTTTACTCTGCTTGTGGTTTGCCAAATATTTAAGGGTAGGAAAATATTTACCACATGCAGTGTTGCATAATCGTTGGTGAAGTTCTTGAGAAATTGATGGACAACAACAATTATATGATAAGATTTTGAGTTTGTCATAATATTGTAGGGCGTGTATTGGATTAGTGTAATGCTGGTTTTTGCTTTTCATAATAGGTGGGAGGAATCCATTGTTTTGATCCAAGAGAAGGGCTACATTAGGTGCTCTATATTCATTACAAC